TCTTGCATTTGGAATGTCGAGCAGCACAGAATAATTTCATGTGCTCTGATGTGACACTTCAGATGATTTTTCTGGCTGACTGGGCAGGACCTGTCTAGGCTAAAAGCATTTGGTGAGAGGAAGCAGCAACAGCTGTTTTGCCTGTAGAGTCAGTTCTGCATGTTGGTGCAACTGAGGAGACAACTGCAATTGAAGGCAATTTAAATGGACAGCTAATGGTTGCCACAAGGTAGTTTTTGATCCCACAGGTATGGGTAAAGTGTCTGGTGATACCGTAAAGAATGGAAGAATAGAAACTTAAGTCAATGATAATAAGCATCTGCTAAATACTCCACTTTTGTGGACAGGTCTTCTCTGTGTGGTTCTTGGCTGTACACTTTATTGGACTTCACATGATCCCTGTGTGTCCAGTGCTCCAGTGTGCCCAGGTCCCTGTGAATGGCAGCACAAGCATCTGGTGTGTCCAGCAGCTCTCCCAGGGTTTTGGGTTGACACTGACGTGCCTCTGCAGGCTGGGAGCTGCAGGTTGTACTGAAATGGCCAACCAGAACAGCAGAGGCACACTGGAGAGGGATGTGGGGTACTACTAACAATATATCCAGGATGATTTTGATGGGTGTAGGAAGTGAAGCATGGCCATGCTGTGCTAGCCTAGTTGATGCTGATATTTCTTCCTTCTGTCATGGTTTGACTGCATTAGGAATGCTGCAGACCACATAGAGAGCTTGCTGTGCACCATGAGTAGTGAGGATCTCACAAGTGCTCAGTGGTAATTTTTCTATCACTTGGGCTTTCAGTTTTGGTTTAAGGACTTATTAGAACATGATAGAGTGTAATATATGTTGTGCACAGAACTTCAATGAAATTATTTTAAAGATGGGCTGAACGGGCATTATGATTTGTTTGGCCTTAAATGATGCTATGTGCTTGCAGAATCAGACCTGGGAGTGGTGATCTAATTTGGCTCTAGATCTAGTGGCTGTAGGGTTAACATGAGTGAATATGTCTCAAGTTCCTAACCTTTAGCAGAAATAAGTCTTATAGAATATTTAATCCAGAGCAAACAAAAACTCCTGAGTGATGCCGAACACATCACGGCATTTGGTAAATTTGTTGCAAGGTTAGTTCCTGATGATTATTTTTCTATTTCTGCAGGATTTAGAATTCATGTTTCCAATTTCTAGATACCATTTTCACATTGCAGGAGGGGTTTCTGTGGTGTGCCCAAGACATTGGATGAAGCAGGGAAGGCTAGAATTGATCTGCCTGCATCTGATCCTTTCTTCTCTCTCACCTGGTTGCTGGAAACTCTGCCTGAGTGTGGAGTGCAGGATTGTTGTTTGTGCTGATGCTAATGCCTTTTCCTTGCAGTCAGATGCAGGTTTTGGGCAAGAATATTGAGGGGACAAATCTTGTCTCTAAACCAGGAAAAGCTAGAGTTTTCCATGTCTTGTTTTCTGGTGCTGTACAGAGCATGACACACCATCATGTACTCCAGCAGGGAGCACAGAGGGAGAGAGCAGGGTCATTGGAAATGGGAAATGAAGAAGGGGGTAAAGGCATGACCAGTTAATTGTAGAAAACATTGCTTCATTTGTGTGAGCTGTTGTTTGAATGTATTTTGCACTTGGAAAGGATAAGGTGACTTGGTCAACAAGGAAAGGATTTTGTATTGGAAGTCAGCCTAATGCCTGAAATCTTTTGTTTTGGGTGTCTTCTTGGGAATGGAAATAATAATGTAGTAACTGCTAGATTAAGGAGTTTATTTTCTTCAAGTTTTGGGTTCAGCTTTTTAAGATGTGGGTACCTAGTCTACAATAGAGTTTATTTAACTTGATTTGGTGTTGTTGTTGTCAGAGAGTTGCTTTGAAGGACTCTGTCAGGATGTTGTCAGTTTTTTAGTTTGTTTGGTTTTTGGCTAAAATGGCTGGATTACTTCACCACTGGAGAGGCAAACAACCTAAGGACTGCAAAAAATGATGTGGGTAGCTTTGTGTGTGTTAGTAAAAACCACAGGAAATATTGATGGAATGCATGTATTGGATTCATTGTTGTAAAATCCTAGAGTCTTTTTAAAACGGAGCTCATTATGAGATTGTTATTGAAGAAACACTATAATAAACCAAACAATCTACTAGAAAATAGGCTTTTTATAATGGGAGTTTTATATAATGGTTGTCATGTCTGCCCTGATTATTGTGCATGCTTGGAAAACAGGTAAAAAAGGGAAACATTTACTTGTTTCCCACTGTATGTTTGAACTAAATGGTGTCTTCTACTGCCTGCTTTATATTCCTCTGTAGGTAATTTTAACTGGACCAGCATAAATTTATGTCATCTTAAAATATAGAGGTGCAGGTTTAAAAAGCTACAAAGGCATAAAGGTCATTATAAGTGGGATTGAATGAAAACATCAGACTTTTTTTCAACACTAAAATAAGCAGTTAACTGCATGTTAAAGGACTATATTGTGTTCATTATAGTTTAAATAACTCCAAATGCTGAAATATGAAGTATTCCTCCTCCTGCTCTGTTCTTTAGGACAGGTGACAAAATAGTTGTGTGTCTCAAGCTTTCAGGATGTTTTTTATCAATGACTTTATTCTCAGGTAGAAGGAGAGAAAGAGGAAGAGTTTGATTTTTCTGGTTATGAGAACTTCATCTTTCAGAAACAGGTATTTCTTTTATTAAAACCAGAAAAACACAAGGGTTCATACTTGTGTAGTCTACACGCATCAATGAATTTTCCACAATTGTCAAACAGTTTTTGTAGTTTGTCACACAGTGACTGTATTAATATAAGAGTGTAGAGGGACAACTTTTTTGTCTTCTGATGGTCCAGTCTGAACTTTACCACAGAGGGGTGGCTTCTTCCAGCCCTGTTTTGCAGTTTCCTGTTTGGCATAAGGACAAGTAGAAAACAGCTGAGTCCCTTGCAGTTCCCTGCTCTCAGGTTTTCTGCCCCTAGCACTGTGAGTCCAGCTGCCTTGGTCCTCTCTTCTGCTTCTGGCTCGTTATACCCTTCACTCCACACTTCTAAGTAAGGACTTTGCTTTTCAAATAAGCTGTTTCTGAGCAAGTATCCTTTTCCTTGTGTGTGAGAGCACTTCCCTAGAGCAGCTGAATGCTGCTGATTACATCTGAGCATGAACAGCCAGCAGTTGGGAAGGGTGATTAGGTTGAAAAGGAAAATTTAAGAAAGAAATCCCACATAGTAGTTGTGCAGGATGCCGTAAATGTCTGTGGAAGATACCTCACCTGGAGCACACATAAATTTCCTTGAACTTCTTTAGAAAGCTTTTCTGGAAAGTAAGATTGGCATGAATCCTGCTAGAATTAGATAATCTGAAGGTATAAGATGGATAGGTTTCCTTTGACATCCAGCTAGCATGTGTGTATGTGTGTGAGTCTGCTTGTGTGAGTACAAAAAAAATAGTTTTTTCTTCAGTCTTGTTCCGGTTGTAGTGAACTTCTCCATTTCAGAGATCTGAACATTGCCTTTATTTTTTCATATAGGAAGTCAACTCAGAACTTAATCTGATCTAATGCTGTGTTTCTTTATGATAAATTCTGATCAGTGTCTGAAGTGGTTGCTTTATGTTGTGGACTGGATATGTCATTGCCCTGTTAGGGGCAATCACATCCTTTGAAACACAGTAATGAGCAGTGTCTTTAATGAAGAAATGCTTATGGAAATAGCACAAATAGCATATATGACATTTTTGTTTAAGGAGAACTCAGATTAACTTCTGCCTCATAGTGAAACTGGAGAATTTTTACACCAGCCTGGTGTATTGGCCCCTTTAAACCATTAGTGCTGGAGTGGTGGTTTTTGCTCCAAACCAACTTTTTGTTTGTGAACGTGTGTTTTGCAACAAAATAGCTTGTAATTATATGGTATAAAAATGTAAATTTCATGATAAGGCACTGTAAGTAAAACTGTTGGTAATACAAAGTAGTAAGTACTGGAAGAACTAGTTGTATGCAACTGTGAATCTAGTTGGAAGTGTAATATGAAGAATGAAGAGGCAGAAAAGCCTGTTAATTCTCTCAGCTGGTAAATAAACACTGATGTGTGTAGTAGGATGGAAGTTCTACTTTATATGCTGTAGTGGTTTGTTTGGTGCAGTTTATGTTACCTCTTCCTGGCTGGATTTTCCTCCTGCCTTGTGCAAAACTGCTAGTGCACAGGCAAAAAATGCCCATCGAGAGGAAATTAATATTTAAATAAAAGAGTTTGAACATATCCTGTGTTTTAAAAACATGTAGTTGAGTCCTTGGTATTCCTTGCCATTGCTGAACTGCAGTGCTCCATGCAGCTCTTCCTATTACCCCAGGACCTGTAAAAGGGGAGACTGAAACAAATCTACTTTGTTTGTCCAGAACTTGCTTTTTCTAGAGGACTAGGATGGCAGTTCTGTGTTTTATTGCAGTGAGGATTATTGAATCTGTCACATTGTGCCATTATTTAATGGTAAAGTCACATCTGCTGCCATTAGTCAACTCCTTGGTTAGTCTTTTTGGTAGAGAAATGTTACTAGTGGGTGTAGTGACACCACAGATGCAGTCTACTTTATTATTTAAATTTACAACTTCAGATTCATCAAGTTAAAATACCTCCTGCTGCACTTAGACCCTTGCACAGCTTCTGAATATTTTGTGAAATTCAGTCACACAAAGCTGTGAGCCAGAGAGTCTGGTTGAATAAGTGTAGTGCCATTTAAACACACATATGTGGTAAAGAAGTACAGAAGATAATGCAGAACATTTATTTTTAAATTTTTATTTAATTTTTATTTATTTTATTTTTAGTTACCTAAACAGAAATATAAAACTGAATGCAAGAATATGATTAAGCTATTTTGGGGTCTTCCATTTTAAAGTTACTGTGGTTTAATAGTGATGCTACTTCAAATTTGACCTTTTTTGTCGACAGCATGTTTATTCAATGTATTACTATTTTGGAGTCACATCTAAAATTTTTTTTCTCTCTCTTACAGACTGGACTTTGACATTCTTTTCATGAAAGAGGTTTCCAAGTAGTTGTCTTATAATTACTTTAAGAAGAAGTTCTATGTAGCTCTTACTTCCAAGAGTGCTGCAAAAATGATTACTTCAGATTTGCCAGTACTACAGTGAGTATGCACTTCTCTCTACATTTGAAATCTTGGCTTTTAAATAGGTTGAAGTAAACAGAGAGGTGATTGTGAGGATAAAACACAAGCTTGGAATAAGTGCATGTTAGTGTGGCTGTTCCAGGCCTCCTGTGTTTTCATGTGCTGAAAAACTGTGTAAAAAAACTGCAAAACACTTAATCTAAAAAATATTTCTTTCTATGTATGGAGACTTAACTTTGCTGTGCAAAGCAAAACAAGATCTTTGCTACTTTTATGCTTCTGAATGTTGTGAGCTTTCAGCAGCATGTATTGGTTTTGGTCACAACAGTCCATGTTGTATATTCCAGTTGTGTACTTCCTCACACCATGTTGTACATTCCAGTTGTGTATTTTCTTACAATGAGCTGAATTTATTGTGCAAAAAGCCTTTGCCTGCTGCAGTTGATGATAGCAAGTGTCACGAACATGTTTTGGTCCTGCTGGGAAATAGGAATGGTTAATGCACATGTGAACATGGCTGTGCTTGGATAAAGTGAGCTACTGGAAGAACAGAGGGCAAAGTCTATAATAGGAGGAGCTGAAGAGGAAATCCAATAGAGTTAAGAAGGAATTTTAGAGACTGGAACTTGCTCCTCTCTTCACAGGGCAGGAGAGCACACAAAGTGAGGAAGCTTATGGGGTGAGGTAATGACAGGGAAATCAAAACAGACCAAATGGGCTTGGCTTGGAGAAAATTAATTTATTGCTAATTAAAAAGGGTTTGGATGAGGGTGAGAAACAAAGGCAAAACCTACCAGATGTTCCTTTTACCCCTGCCCAAGCTCACCTTCAATCTTTCATCCCACCCCATCCCGTCATGCCCCGGTCAGGGTGCCCAGCCCACTCCAGCACGGGTTCCCCTCAAGGGACCTCTTCTCCTGCCATCCCCTCAACAGAGTTGCTGCCCCCCCCCCGTCCCATTCCCTCACAGGGCTGCTGCCCCCCGGTTCCATCCCCTCACAGGGCTGCTGCCCCCCGCCATCCCCCCACGGAGCTGCCGCCCCCCTCCATCCCCTCACAGGGCTGCCGCCTCCCATCCCAATCCCCTCACAGGGCTGCTGCCCCTTGCCATCCCCTCACAGGGCTGCTGCCCCCCGGTCCCATCCCCTCACAGGGCTGCTGCCTCCCCGCCATCCTCTCACAGAGCTCCCTCTGTCACCACCCTGCTGCCAGTGCCAAGCACCTGCACCAGGTACATTTGGTAACTATCTAATGTTAATTTTTTTTTTTGCTTGAAGTGCTTTCTAATTTTTTTTTACCTCAGGGTGTGAAGGAACTTTAGTTTATCAGGGTTGAGTGGCATTCCAAGCTAAGACTTCAAGTCCTGTTATTTAAGAAACTGGATGGTTGGACAATTGAAAAGAAATTTGTATGACCTTAATAATAATGTGCTTTGCATTACAGTTTTTGCTTGTATTTTTAGAACCTCTTTAAAAAAATTTAGTTGTGGATGAGGACAGGCTAAAGCTGAGGATGACCTTGATGGGCAGCACTGAGGGGGAGTGTCAGCCTGAGGGGGGTTCCTGTTAGCTTAGGGATTAGTTGTGGAAGAACATTTTCTTGGTTCATATTTCCTGGATTTGCCACATTCAAGAAGTGAGGGAATGTTTGTGAAATATTCCAAGAACAAAAAGTTAGGAAAGTCTGTGGTGGTGGAAATTGCATTCCCACTTAAAGAATCCAGGTGGACTTAAAAAGTGAATGGAATATCACAGAGTTTAAGGTTAAAAAGTGTATGTTAATGGATTTGGTAACTTGACACACCTGCTGAAAAACCTGAGGGATGTTAAATATTCTATAAATATTCTTTAGTCAGAGCCACTGATTTTAAGCAAAACAAAGAGCGTACGAAAACATTCATGTTGTTTTTTCTGGTAAAGTTGGGAATAATTTAATGCTACTCTAGGAAGTGTTAGTGAAATGTCATCCTCAACAATACATGTAGTTTTAATTGCTTATGAGCAAGAGGAGATCTTTCATTTTCAAAGAACTCAGCATGATTTGCATATAGAGGTTTCGGGACTCTCTTGAGGGCTCAGAACATTGGCTAGTATGCATGAAGTATCAAATAAAGTGATAAATTCTAATTCAGAAGGTCTCAGTCAGGCTTCCATCAGGAAGAGTGCTGTCTCACGGTGGGGAAGCCTGAAACAATTTTTGGGCTAGGGGGTATTAACTTCACATATTTACAGATTTGGGAAGACAGTTGCACACAGAACATCAAGGTTTCCTTTCTAGCTCTTGAATGAATTATTTGAAGGATTATTATTATCTCCCATTCCTATGCTTGTTTTCTACTTCTTTTTTGTAATGTTTTGTAATCTTTTTGGCTACCCTCTTTAAACAAACAATCCAAAAGCCAATTTGATATGTTAATATACGTTGCTTAGGACCATATCATATATTCCCTCCCAAATTCTTCTTTGTTGAGGGAACATGAAAGGAGAATCTTTAACCTTTCTAGGTTCATAGAAGTAGCATTAGAACACAGTGAAGACAAGGATTTCGCTTATTGATGTTTCAGATGTTTGGAGAAAGCATCTGGTGTATTCGATCTGTGTGATGGACAGGTATGAATCTTCTCTCAATGGCATGACTCATGTTTGCTCCTTAGATTTTTGAAGATCAGCCATGAGAACTGATTCATCCATGATTCATGAGCCTGTGCATTTAGCCACTTTTCTTCATGAATGCTTTTTTTCACAAGGCTGAATCTGGTGATAGCAATTACTGGATTTATCTCTGCCAGAATGTTGAGCCCCTCAGCAACAGCTATAAAAGCTTATAGAAGTGTTTTGGTTCCTTTTTTTTACAAAACCTGATATATAAACACAGGTTTTTGCTGTGGTATGCATTTAAAGGGGCATGGGATATAAATGGTATAGCTAGGACTTTGTGGAATTGTAGAAGAAAGGTAAATTCATTTTAGTTTGTGTTACAGAGATGTGAAATTTACTGTGTTAATGGAAAGGGCTGTCCAGTAATCTGGTAATTCTTCATTAACATGGATAGCTTCAAGGGTTAGTAATTATAGCTCTGGAATAATATCTGGAGTTTTTAGAAGGGATTCTGGAGTTGCTGCCCCTTTGCTAGGATGCTTTAGTTACCAGAGAAACCAGAAAGCACAGCAGAGTATACCTGAGCCCTGAAAAGGGGGTGTCACTTGTCTCCTTTGCTCTGCTCTTGTAGGTCCCCTCACCTCTGTCAAATTCTCTCAGGTCTCTGTCATTTCAAAGCAGTCTTAGGAGAGGAAAGGTTTTGCTGTAGGCACTCCCACCTCTCCTTAGATGAGGCAGCTTTCCTTAGGCCCAGGTTATCTTCCCTCACACCAGCTTCAGGAAGGATCAATTATGACTAAGCCCAAGTTTCCCCTCAGGTGTCGCACACACGTGGAATGGGGATAGGATAATTCTGCTCTATTAAGATGTGGATAATTGCCACCAGATAAATGACTTCTTAGCAGTTCTGTGACATGTGTAGGGAATGAGGGAGATGGATGCTGGCCAGCTGCTTCTCTCAGAGTGTTCCAAAGTGCCAGGACTGCAGCAGTTGGGAGATGCTGTGCTGCTGCTCTGAGTGCAGAAATAAGAGGGAAAGGGGCACGTGTGTGTACCCAGAGCAGCTGCAAGGCTGGGACAGAGGCAAGAGGCGCTGCCTCCCAGACTGAAAGGGCTCACAGCCACCCTGGAAGGACCTTTGTGTGCAGGGGTTGGATGATTCAAACAGAATTCCTTGCTGCTTGAAATGATGTTTATTTTAATATGAAACAGCTAAAGACTGGAGGTTGTCCTGGATTGTGTCTCCCTACTCCAAATAATGTGAGGATTGAAGGGAACCTAGTTTTTGATGATTTCCCCTTGCTCCATACATACATTCTTGCTGGAAAAAAGTTTCTTTTCTTCCTCCCATGTTGTTAGGGTGAGAGTTGCTTTGTTTATTTTGAAACATTTATATTCAAGCTGCTTGTCTTGATCACTTTATCATCAATGGAGAGAAAGCAAAATTTAGAAGACTTCAACTGTCAGACCAGTTTTGGACACTGATCTTAGTGGGGGGTATCGTGTACATGAAGGTATTTTGCATTGCATATGTCTCTAATTTAGATTAGATGAATCTCACCCTCAGTACTATTTTACTGAGCTTTTCCCAAAAAGGGAAATGGCCAAAGAGGCTTCCAGCAAATCAGAGAAGTTTTACTAGAAGAATGTTAAGAGAATCAGGTTTAAGGCAACAGTCTATTTAAGGCAAAGATTAGAAGATGGTTAATAACTTAACTGTTCCTTCCATATGCAGTGTTGGGAAAGATTTGAAATTTCCAGAGCTAAATAGGCAGATTTATCTGGAGGTTTTGCTAGGCTGGACTGAGGCTGTAAATCGGCAGAAATTCGAGTTCTCTGTGGAGTAGATGCATGTGAAGTGGTAGCAGAGTTTCATTTATTTATATAGCTCTGGTGTTTCAAGGGCAATGTTTGAGGTGTTTGCCTAGGAGGATTGCTGAATCTGTTTTTAATAGAGAGAAATCTTAATCCTGATGATCCTAGGGGTGCAGGTTTATGAGCTAGCAAAGCTCAGTGTTTCCCCAGGAATGGGGGTATTGTTTAGATAGACACACCATGCCTGGAACTTTTCCAGTAAGGATCTGAGCAAACCAGAGAGAAAAGCCTTGGGTTTGTTTTTTTGGTTTTTTTTTTTTTTTTTTTAAGAGAGAGCAATAGAGAATGGTTTTAATTTCTCTGTAGAAACAGAAGGGAGCAAATATTTTTATGGGGTTCCTTACTTCTGTATTCAAAATCTATTAAAATTGCCATTGTGAGCCAGTGTGCATTTTTGTCAGTGACTTGCAGTGTGATGAGGTATTTGAGTAAAGGCTGGGTACATCCATCTACATAAGCAGGTTTTCATCTGTATTTACTGCATTGCTTTCCTCTGCTGTGGCCCTAATCTACCAAGCAATTTTGAACTCTCTTTGGGGTATCTTTTATTTGATTTTAGACTTTTTACATTTTTGTGTGTTTTTCCAAATACATAGCTTGATGCTAAGTTTTTCAAGTTTCATGTTTTATGAAGTGCAAAAGCTACTTTTTAATTGTATCATAACAAAGCTGCATTTTCAATATTTTGTAGAGGTACTGCATTACAAGCATGTAATTTGTGAACTCAAATGCACTTGGAATAGTGGTTTTTCATCTAGGGTGCCTGATTTTCTGGGGTGTATAGAGTATCTAGAGATAATCCACTGAAGTTACTTTCAGTAAAAGACAGTCATAGATGTTCTTCTGCATTCTGGCTTTTGTGAAAGATTCTGTGGACCCCTTGGTAGTTTTGTGCTTGCAGATAGGAAAAGGTTGGAAAACAATGTCTTAATATTAGAAACTCATCATAGTTCTACAGAATTATCTGAGTGAGAGCAGACCTAGACAATACATTAATTTCAGTAAAGAGGCGTATGAGAACATTCCCAGTTCTGATACAATAATATCTTTCTGCATTATTAAATTGCTTTCTTGGTGATACAACAAATTTGTGAAGTATTCCTGGTCTATAAAGCAAAATACAAAATAACCCTGAGACAAGGTGGAAGATCTGTATAGATCTTTGCTTGCTGGAGCTTCTCGGTTTCTCCAGAGCAGATCACTGATGCTGCTGTTGATGTTTGAGGCTCTGTAAAATATGGAATAGGTCTGGTTTTCACCTTCCTTTGCACAAGTAACACAGCAACTGAACTCCTTTCACTTCAAGGAAATGATTTTGGATTTAAAGAAGTCTATGATGATAACTACCCTTGACCCATCCTTGAGTAATCTAGGACATTTTTAGTTGTAAACGAAAATTTATAGAGATCTGGTGCACTGGTGGTCTTGCACAGTGAAAATAAAGCCCAGGTATGGTTTTGCATGTGAGCTGCTCTTGGGCAAGGTCTGATGCCTCAAAAGATCAATTACAATCTGAGTTTCTTCAGGCAGCCATGTGAGTTTAGAAGGCACAGAGGTACCTGTGCCTCTGCCTTGGAGGGGTGGTGAAAATTAGGGGAGTTTTTTTTTTATCATTCTCTTAAATATGAAATGGCAACGAATGACAAATTATTGTTTGAGCTTTTCAGCTAACAGGAGTTGAGCAATGTCAAAGCTTTTCCATTATACAAATGAAAATATTTGTCTAATTGCAAAAATTATCAATGTCTTCAGATCAAAGGGAGTTTTTGGGTTTGGGGCAGAATGAATCCTCTTTATGAATAGCTGCCCAAGCCCCTTGTCTTGGGGTGTCACTGAGAGCTGTGTGGGACCTTGTGTAACTGTGCTGATGATGACACAGCTGGGTTGGACTCCACATTGCTCTTGGGGCCTTGAGAACAGCTCAGAAGCAGCTACAAAGAGTAAAAGGAAGTGAATACATTGTGGGATTGATGAATTGAGCATGTGCTGGTTAATATAGCCAGTTTTGAAGTGTAACGTGTTTTCAAATAAAATTAATTTTAAAAATTCCAGTCAATAAAATGACATTGCAGCTGATGAAAAGGGAAGTTCTTTTGCCAGGGCTAACAATACTCATTTCCTTGGTTTGCAGAATAAATGGGGAAAGCCTTTTAATGCTGACTTTTGTTGTTGTTTATTTGTTTTCTGGCTCGGGACTAAGTATTTAATTGGTCAGTTACAAACTACTAGTTGATTTTAGATAATTTGAATGTATGTAATTTTTTTCCCCCTAGGGATTCTACAAATGAAACTACTGCACATTCAGATGCTGGCAGTGAGCTTGAAGAAGCAGAAGTCAAAGGAAAAAGAAAAAGGGGCCGTCCCGGCAGGCCTCCAGTATGTATAATTTATTTTGGTTTTGTTATGCATCTATTTAATTTATTGTTGTTTAGTTATGCATCTATTTATAATTGACTGTAGACTCTTTTTCATCTGATCATCTTGTGGTCACATAAATAGGCTTTTAATGAGTCCTATGTCAGACTTCATGAAGACTTGTAGTATGAAATATTTATCAAATTGATGTGCAAACAATGTTTGAAGCCTTTAAAAAAGGACATAAAAATGATGTCATAATAACTATTAATTTTTCTTTTGCTAGCTGCTTTCATGAACAATACAGTTTTGTTATTATTGTCAGTACCACGTTCTTCCAGATGTGAGAATAGGCTCAATAAGTACAACCACTGTCTTCTTGAAAGCTGTGATGGACTTTAAGTGACAAATGGCATTTGAGCCATCCATTTATTACTGATAATCCCTTCATGTGAGTGGAAGAATTACAGCCTGATATTTCCTAGATTCCTGAGAAAATCTATTAACACCTTTCAAAGTCATGTGACTGACACACTGCATTCTATTTATAGACTGGAAGCTTCGACACATCCCCTGGCATAGTGCAGAGGTGATATGGCTGTCTTTGTCTCTGCTGGCCTATCAGCAGGAACATACAGAAACAGTTCTCTATTACCTGGGGTGTTAGGGAGGCTTTCTCTTTTATTTTCATCTATTTTATAAAATAGACAATTCATTGGAAAATAAAGGGAAAGTTCTGTGTGTCATGTTTTCCTTCATCTTGGTTCTTGAAGATGATCAGTGTAGTTCCCTTGGCTGTGTCACTTGAAGTACCCAGTGTGGAGTAAGACTTGGTGGGAACTTGTGTGTTTGTTGTTAATGAGCTTGATTCACCTCTTGGGGTTGTTCTGTGAATAAACTCACAGCATGAATGTGCCATATATCTGTATAGCACTGGTAGATGGGGGTGATTTTTTTTTTTAACCCTGAGAGCTGTGATCCTAAGGTTTATCTCAAACCATGGGGTTGGTGAGAATGTAAGAATGGACAGATCCATGGGTTACTCTCAGGCATGCTGGCCAAGCTGGAGCAAATTCCTCTTTCCTGTTGGTTTTCAATTTGCATCACAGTCTCTGGCTTTTCTCAAGGTGCCAACATTTTAAATCCTGGTCTTTTCTAGGCACGTTGTCTTCCTTTTTGAAAGCTTTCAAACACTTTCCTGTGTTCTTCATCAGACAAATGGATTTGCTCATGAGCATGAAGCCTCTTCAGAGCAAGCCTTAAAGAAGTGCTTAAAGAGAACAGCTTATCTGTTTACATAGCTTGTAAGCAAAGGATAAAATGAAAAGTTATCTTATGAATATTTAATTAGCAAACCTATAGGGTTTTGTAACTCTAATAAAAAAAGCAGGCTGGTGCAACCTGATTGCTAACCCAGAATGTTGTCACAATATACAATTTCAAGTTATAGCAACGCCAGGGAGAGCACATACTCACTGGAAGGGAAAGGTGAGTGTTACAAAAAGCATTTCTCATTCCTCTGCTTTGCTTTATTAGTAGCTCCTATGGGAACATTTGCTGACGCACTCTGCTGGTCCTGCTATCAGGTTTCCAGGGGAGGAATTGCTCATTTTGCTTAGAACAACTCCAGGCTCATTAGGTGTGATTGTCAAGTGATGAACATGCAGAGGGAGCAGCCATTGCTTGAGTCACAAAGTGATGGGCTGTGAGCTGACTGCTGCTGCTAAGGACCAAGACCTTAGGTTATCAGGGGGAGTTCTTTGGAAGCTTTATCTTAATGCTTAAAAGGAGTCAAAAACCTCCAAATCCAGTCTTAAAACTCAGAGGAAGAAAGTAGAGGATGAAACAAATACAGTGTCCTTTATAAAACTGTAGTTTGTCAAAATTTGGAACAATTTGCTCGGTTGTACTTTCTCTTTCCCTTTTGACCTCCACCCCAAAATCTCAGCAAAGTGTATATTAGGACTGGGAGAGTTTCAGGGAGGAAAAGCAATATGGTCGTTTATGGAATGGGACTCAGCAAGTCTCATTGCAGCCTCCTAGTCAGAGTGGGTCAGCTTTGGGATCAGACCACATTGCTCATGGCCTTTCCAGTTGGATTTTGAAAGCTACCAAGGCTGGAGACTGCACAGCTTCTCTTAGGTGCCTATTCCATTTTACTTCATGATAAATTTCTCCCTTGGTTCTTCTAAAAAAAAAAAGCCCCAAAAGCAAAAAGCCACTATAATGACTAGAAGATAGATGCAAAAACCTTGGAAAGGCGAATCTAGGCAATTGAATTTACAGCATTATTTGATGTTAAAAGCCAGGGACTTGATAATTGTATTGCTTTATCAAGCCATGTTGCCAGCCCAGCCACTTCCCTCAGGTGAATTGCCTGGTTCCTGACATTGCCTGTAGCTCTGACATTTTCCCCATAACTCTTCACTACCCTGGTTTTGTTTTCTTACAGGTACCACCTACCTGTACTGTCAGATGTGAAACAGATTAAAAGGTTTAGTTAAGTTCAGAAATGTTTTTCTTAACTTAGATTAGATTTAGCTTAGGTGATTTTAATTTGTTTTAGATCTGAAGAATGGTAGCCCAAAGGCTCTTCTGATTTCTGTGCCTGGGATTTTTTCTAACTTAAATATTATGATCTAATCTCTTCCTGTAAATGCTGATTTGCTGATGTCCTTAGGCCATCACAGCTGGAGTGGCACATGTGCCATAAACATACTGACCTCTTGGAAAGGGATACTGCATGATCCTATTATAGAGCTGCATAGAATATATTCCATTAATTAGATGTATGTGTTTTAAACAGGTTTCTGCTGAGTGTCACAAAATGGACTTGACCTTTTATCAGAAAGATATACTACTAGGGGAGGACTTTCCAGATTGTTTTCCAAAGAAAGACGTTTTCTACAGACTTGAGACCTTTGTAAGAAGATGGTGCTCATTTGAAAAACTGCCTTTTGTAGCAAATACCTCTTCAGTTCATGGAGAACTGTAATGCTTTGAGGGTACCTTCACTTCCTAAACCTCTTGGAACTAGTTGATTTTTACTATTTCCTTTCATTCCAAGTCATTCCATTCTAAAACACTACACTTCAAGTAGCCCCTTCACTTCTGTCCACTGTTCTAATGAGTACTTGACTGAGTAGGCCAGACAGTCAATTTGCAAATAGATGAAGTGCACTGGTCTTGCAGAATAGCTCTCAGAATCGAACCTGACTGCCCTGAGCTCCCTGGCCCTTGCTGTGAGTTGAGCAGGGGCTGCACCGTGTCCTGCTCCAGTGCCTGGGGCTGCCTCCTGGCCACGTGCCCTTCTGTCTCAATGAGATGCCCATGGAGAGCCTGCCTAGAGCTGAGCCTGTCCAGCCAGTGGGGTATTGTGGTGCACATGTTTGTGGTGCTGTATGTGAGGATACTGTCTGGCTATGTATTTAATGAATTCAGGGAATGGAATTTAATCAATTCTGTTTAAGGAGTGACTTCTAACAGTCCTCTCCTTGAAGTTCCTGAGTGATATTGGCCAAAGTGCCCTCTCTGTCTGCTGCATTATTGAAATACATGGGTATGGATGTGCTCTCCTGTTCTGCACAGGGGATTTGAAAGCCCAAGGGCTTATGATGCAGTGTAGCATTCACATCAGTGAGCTCAGGCTCAGATCAGTTATTTACCCATCCTTTTTTGTCTCCTCTTTTGGACCAACATTCTGTTCAGCTTTGTTGGCATGCTTTATTTTAAACTACCTGGCCTCACCTTCCCAGGAGCTCAGAATAGCTTGGCTTAAACCTCAGCTGCTGGAGGTTGAGGCAGTGAGAGAGATCCCTGGCTGTGTTTCAGATTCAAAGTAGGAGTAGACACATTTAATCTCTGATTCAGAGGACAGGGAGAAACATCAGTTTGTCTGTTCCAGAGGTGGCAATTTGGGAATCTGCTGGTTTCTTTCTCATCTCATAGTCAGAGCCACAGTGTATCTTTCTCCACTTAAAGCAAGATGAAACAAGGCACTTCTGATGCTTTTGTGGCAAGCAAAGCCTGTACAATTTTGCTTTCAGGTCCTTTTGTAGTTTTTGGTATGGAGGAGACAGACCACAATGCCTTAGCTTTGCATTCATATGGGGAATTTTAACTTTGCAGCAGATTCCTGGCCTTATTTAATCTTGCAGTATAGATGTTAGATACAGCAGGGGATTGAGTTTTGCTTCTAGTTCCAAGTCATACGTGTTCTGATTAATAACAGGGAGGAATCCTCTTAGAAGAATTTCTTTTCATACAGTGGAGGTTTGTGGTTGGTGTGATTTACATCAGTGTCCTGTTTCAGCTTGCCTGCCTGATGATTTAGGTCTGTCCCTTACAACTGAAGGGAGTCTGTAGTTCAGTAGAAATGCAGAATCTATAGCATCTTTGTGAACACTTTTCTATCCTGTTACCTGTAACATTAGATGTTTTCTTTTAAGCTTTTGATGGGATGGTTCTTGTATTTTTTGCAATCTATTCTATTCTTCATTTTTCTGTGGAAATACTCTTTTTTTTGGTAGTAAATGCCTCAGCTAGAAGAATTGAAATTATTCAAGCATTAACAGCATACTCTCTTGATTCTTTAAGATGACTTTGAGAGCTCTTGATAGATTTTTAAATAAGGGTGAAAAATTGCACCACCACTCCCAACACTGCCTCAGCTTTTTTTGTCCTAAACTGCAAATGCTGCAGCTGAAGCAGCTCTGGGTGTTAGGGGACCTGCACCTGTCTTTATTTGTGGGATGAAACTTTTTACAGGGAGCACCTTGTTTTTTTCTATGACCAAAACAATCCACAGGACTGTGGGAATCCAAGAACCTTCTCCCTAGACTACCACGAGGATGGTATGAAATGTGTCATAGTGGTTTTTTAATCCGGATTAACTCATGAAGACCTCAGGCATTACCATTCTTCCACTTAACACAAGCTTGTAACACAGGGCTTCTTGAGGGGCTGGTGCCTTGGAGAGACAAGTTCTTCAGTCTTACTCAAGTGGGGGTTAAAAACTTTCTCCCACCTTCGCAGGGAAGTGGGGAATTCATTCCTCTAAATGACTCACAGTGTGAATGCACATACAGGTGGTTGTTTTCAGGTGGTGTGTTGGGAGGAGTTACTGACTCTAGGGCTTCCACTGCCTTTGTTTCTTCAAGAAGTGCATCACATCAGCTTGGGCAAAGTTAATGGAAAATGTCAAGCCACTTTTACTTTTTTTTTTTGGTAGCATGTGAATCAATTTTCACTATATTACTTGATTTTACAAATGTGGGTCACTATTTTCTTCACAGTAATTTTAAAGACATGAAAAGTATTGTGTAGTTAATTTGTTACAAAATCCTGAACTGTCAGCATTGTAATTTAATTGCAGTCAAGGTGAGTATTTTGTTTCCTGTTTGCATTCATTTAAGCCTTAAAGCAACAGGTGAGGCATGTGACAGTCAATATGGCCATTTATATAAACCCTTAGCTTTTGTTGTCACAAATTTGAAAAGTCATCAGTAATATCTGTTATCATTTGGCACCTCAGTCCATTTTGACAGCACACCAGCCCAGCTGTCCTGGGTTTTGGAGTGAAATCACAAATGCAACTACTGCAGCCTCTCAGCTGCAGGCAGCACTTTCTGTGGTGTATGATTAAAAAGCCCCAAGCATTCTTACTGTGTCATGCTGCTTTATCCCTCCCTTTGGCAGTCCCAATTCACCCACTTCAGGGGGGAACTTTCTGGTTCAAAGCTGTAAAATGGTGTGCAATAATCAGTTTTTGCTCCTGTTAGGACTCAGCAGTTCTGTTTTTCCTGTGTCTTGATGAGTATTTGTTGGATCCGTGGGAGCAGACCTGCTGCAAATTCACTCTGATCTTATGAAACATCTCATTTTACAGCTGTCAGTGGTAGTCTGACAGGTTTATTGGGGCTACACTCGTTCTTGAGCAGGGCTGTTTCTCTGTGGAAACTCTTCATGGCATTGGAGAAAAGGTTTCCTTGTTTTTTGCAGAAGGATCACCCTTTCCTGTGAGTGCATGTGTCTCTTTTCTGGGATGCACAGTTACCTGTGTCTGGCATCCTCAAAGCCAAACATAATTTTTAGATTTGTGGCTTTTGCAACTCCACTTCCAAGAGCACCTTGCCTTTGGAGATGTGCCATGTTCTCATTGTCACAAGAAAATCTAGACCAGAGAGAAATTTTGTTAAAGTAGACTCAGTAATATAGCTGGTGCTAATTCAGGGCCAGGATATTGAGGTATTTACTTGATCTGAAGAACCTGGCTTTACCCTGTAATTTGTCAGAAGCACATGTGTCAGTTATTTCTATAACTCTTCTGAGGGCTTGGTGGTGATTTCACCCTTCCAGTTCAGACTGGTAGCCCTGGTCAAAGCACCTCCCTTTTCCCAGGATACCTGACAAAGGGAATTTGAACTGGGCATTTACATGCCTAGGTATTACACATTTGGAGCCTGTGTCTGTAGTACTCATGCTCAGGTACTCAAACAGGTGGCTTTTCTCATTGCTTTCATTAACAAGGTAGCTTTGGATGTGTGCATTTTGCATCCATCTCTTACTTGTTTTCCCTTCATTCTTGCAGCATTTAATGCCTCTCTTTCAATTGCATGTTGAGAAAAACTGTCTAGAGGGGACTTGCATTAGTTTCTGTGGAGGGCATCAGTTTGCATTCAAGCTTTCATTTAGCAGTCCTTGAAGCTGGGTGAAGTGCTTATTGTCTCCCAGATGGAATAAGTGTATGGATTTTATATCTCAAAAGAGTCAATTTACTTCTGATTCTTTCTCATTTTAATAAATAGTGATCACATGTCTCTTTCAAGCTCAGTAGAACTTAAACATTTCATATGTTGATAACATTCTTACTGTTACAAGCAGCTTTGCACATATTTAAAAATTCATTGAGGGAGATACTCTTGATCCTAAGTGCAAATGTTATCCAAAAAGCTTCACAGAGATTGTACCATTATTTTAAGCTTTCCAGCTTGTACTTCTGTGCAAGTCCTTAATTGAATATTTGCAAGAGGCAGTTGCACTCTACCTTGCCCTTTGCTTCAGCCCTCTGGCCCCACCTCTTTTAAAGCAGTGATCCCTTTTAAAGCATGGGGAAAACTGGACTTGCAGGGCTTCTTCTACCAGCTCTCTGTCAGAAATTAGATCTCTTTCCTCTGCAGTAAAATTCTCAACGAGTCTGCACTGTAATATGCAACTGAAAATGTTGACTTTGTGTTCTTTACTAAAAACATTAATAAAGACTCAGCTGACAATATACTTCAGTAAACGGTGCCATGAGGATATTGTCCAAAATTTAGTCTTTGAGTTGCTTGTGTGTTGTTTTCTTTAACATAATTGCTCACAATAGCTTCATTGTTCTGTGGAAAACAGAAGATTTTGCTTTTGTTTGCCTCACAGTAGGGAGAAAGAATAGAATATGGAAGTAAGAAATCTGATGTTATTTTCCCTAGAAATTTTTTCCTGTCTGTTTCACAAGTGACTTAAATTCAGAGCAAACTGTTCAGTAGGTGAGTCTTGACAGGTGGTGTCTATACCATCTGATTCAAACCTTGAAGAACAGAGAGAAAATTTACATTAAGTAATTTAGTCTCAAAGGGAAAATATTTTAACTCATAACATTTTGAAGCAAGAGGCTCTTATGGTGATCTACTAAATCGGGCTGTACAAATTTGGTGATTTGAGTTGAAGAGCTGACTATGTACACAGTTTCTTATAAAAGTTGTATGAAAATGAAAATACAGAAAATGAATGTTAATGTGGCAAATGTATTTTTAATAACTTACTGTCTTAGAAAGATCATTAGTTAAGATCAGCAGTTATTCTCAATGTCTGTGTAAGACTCATACAGGAACTGACATCAACAGGTACTCCAGCTGTCACTGGGGTGACCACTACTTCCCTTGGCATGAAAGTGGCTTTTAAATAGTCCCTCACCAACTACTGAAAAATAAAATTATATGCACCTGACTGGATCAAGTCCTGGTTTATTTTCCTAGCTGACCCTGCTCTGAGCAGGAGGTCAGGCTGGATGCTCTGGAGATGCCTTCCAGCTTGGCTCATCCCGTGATCTTTGTTTGCATCAATGTGTGTGAGGGTGTAACCACATAGTGTTTATGGACTATAAAGATAAACTGGGTGTATAAAGAAACACTGAATGATTTCAGATGTAGCTATAATAAACTTTCCCTCTGCTGGTTTTCTTTGCCCAGTCTGCCACGAAGAAGCCCCGCAAGTCCCCGGCGGACAAGGGGCGTTCCGACGCCGGCGCTCGGGGAGCGAGTCGTGGGAGAGCCAACGGGCACCCGCAGCAGAATGGAGAGGGGGACCCTGTCACCCTGTTCGAGGTGGTTAAGCTGGGCAAGAGTGCTATGCAGGTAAAATATCTACTTGTGTTCCTCCTCACAGTTCAGTGTATCCTGACTGGAGTCCAGTCCATGCTATGCTTTTGTGAACAGTAGATTTTTCTTGTGACTGCATTGGTCCAACATAAAGTACAGGACTGAGAGGGTTCTGATTTAGGGCTGTCATGTATCCTGCTGAAGAACAAGAGACCTGGCAGGGTCATATGTTTCAAATTCTCCATTATTTTGTTCATTACTCCTAAGTTAAAACTTTATATTAAGCAGTTCCTCAAAGTATATCCTGTAGCAAGCTTTATATGGGCAAAAAGTGTATGAAAATAATGATAAATCCAAGCCATTTTTGTTCACTTGTTTTGTCAAGAATATCTGCTCACATAAGCAGTTTGGAGTGCTTTGCCCTGGAACTTGCATTCCTGCTGGCCCAAAAAGGACAGCAGGTGAGGGATAAGCTATTTGCCTAGACTTCCACTGAGTCTGAGGAAAAACATTGACACATCCTGAAGGCAAATTTTTATTTATTGTAAAATTAGCTTCTCCTAGTTACCTCTAGAAATGTTTCTTACCCTCTTATGTTTTAATCAGTTCAGGGGCCTTTACAGGATGTGTCGGGCCAGGTGAGTTTCACCTCAAGACCCTGCCCAGAGGATTGGTTTTGAGTGTTGTGTGGTTTTTGTAAGCTGCTGTGCTGCAGCTCTTGGTTTTGAAATGCAAAGGAGAAACAATGAGCCCAAAACACTCTGCAGCCCATGCAGTCCAAAGCCAGCAGTCACTCCTGCTCTGATGGGTTATTTAAGCAAACCTCCTTTACTTTGCATTTCAACAACGCGGGACTTAGGCAGTATCAGTTAGTTAGTTTTGATGCTGACTAACAAGAGAAAAGTACAAATTAGGAAAATTAGCTCCAAAGTCCCATTCTCAATATTACTTTCAGTGTAGCTAAAACCTAAGCTTCTTTCAAGTCTCACAGAAATCAAATATTGCAAATGAGTGAAAGTTGTTGAAAATTTTCTGTCTCAAACGTGTGGAAAATGAGATTTAGTTTTAAAGAAGTAATACACAGGAAGGAAATGAGAAATTTTTTTTGTAGTAGTTTCTGTGTTTACACTTATTCAGGACTGACCCTTCTTATCTAGTAGGTGAAGACAGAACAAATTTACTTGTAACAAAGCTATGGATTCCTTTTGCCTTTTTTCCTACAACAGAGCTTCCAACTTTGTTTGGTTTTCAGCACTTTTTCAAATTTTGTTTTTGGCAGGAATTGAGGAAACATCTGGAGTCTATTTTCTGGTTTTACTGTGGTACAGAACACACAATATACTTTATGTAGTATAGTTGACTTAGAGTTATTGATATTTGCAGAAGCCAAATAGAAAGGAATGAGCAACTTCTTTGATATTTGATGACTCTGCGTGTATGTGGAATTGACTTTGCTACATTTTATCTATTTCAAAAGAGATGCTGACACAAGTCTCTTGCAGATTAAACGCAAAAAAAAGTTGCATGTTTGTATTAAGAAACCTTTGGAATTTAGATACAAAGAAATTGTCTTGAGAAGTGGAGAATTTGTATATGCATGTGGATGTTGCATGAATTGCATGTATATGCATTTGTATATGGATGTGCACAGACACACACATGCCCAAGCTGCAGGTAGGAGAAGAAGTGCACAGCACCATCCATGCAGGGGAGGGATTATATGCAAACAGTAAAGGAATAGGCAAGAGTATTTGAAGGCCTTGGGTGCCAACAGGCATAAACTACTTGAGCCCTAATTTCAGGAGTATGCGTTGCTTGGGCACCTTTGAAAAATTTACTGTTGGTAAAAATAGACTAAAAATTAAAGAAACCCTATAATAGGAGAGAGAATGCAGTTAAAACGTGATTTAATATTTTTTACCTTGCACTTCCAGACAATCATCTCATGTGAAACCCAGGTTCTATAAACCAAACTTATAAGTGTCTTTATACTTATATTTTTCTGTAATAGCTTAGAGGTTTTGATGTAACAATTAGGAATGCTTGGCATTTTTGTTTTTCCATAGTTTTGATGCAGGTTTTTTTGTTCAATTTTAGCAATCTTGTCAATATTATAGTTTTCAAAGAAGTGCCATATATTTGTATTTGGCCAAACATATGATTTCTCAATATTTAGTTTCTTTCCCTGTAATATGAACATACTTTTTTTTCTTGTGCTTCTAAGTTTGCTTCCAGCATTGAAAACCCAGGAAAATTTAATTAATATATCCTGAGATTGCATGGAAATCATGTGCTTTCGTTTCTGATCTCTCTGCTCCTGCTGTTTGCTTTTAGAATTTTTTTTTAGTTGTTAGATTTTTCTGGCTTTGTGATGCCAATTCATAAAAGTCTGTTGCTGAATTCAATTTTCACTTCTAAGCATCTCTATTTTGGTTCTCACAGCAGGATTCATTTATTACTTCTCTTCAGGCTTATTGCTGCTTGCTTCTTCCAGGGAAATAAAATCAGTTTAATTTTTCTATTTCAAGTGTACATAACTCCAGGACTGCTCTTTGCATAGAATCTTTGCCTCTGTTATGGGGTGTAGCTTGTGTCTGGCTTGAACTCTGTAAATCTGTTTGATGCCCACATTAAGTTGGCATCAGACAGTTGTCAGTGGTTTTCATTTGCTCTGTAACCTTTTGTACAGTCAGTGCTTCAGAAATTGTTCTGTCAGCAGCTCTCTGTGTATGAAGTGTGCCATGACCTTCTGCTCCTGCTTTCTGCAGGTACACTTTCAAGTGTTACTCCATTAGGACTGTCATAGAACTTCTATAGTGGCTTTTGTTTTCACAGTTAAACATGATACTCTTCTGCTTTTTGTCATTTATCTCTTCCATAGATTTATTTTTTAGTTCTATCATTTTATGGTGACAGCTCTATCCTCTACATTTCCCTGCCCTGCTCTTCCATAGGCAGCAGGGTCTCTAGCAGCATTTCTCATGTGCTCAGCTGCCACTGGTGGGAATGAAGGCCTGGGTGAGCCTCTGCCTTTCCAGCTGAGCTGCCCAGGCTGAGACTGACACTGGTAGCTAAAATCTGCAGACACCTCTGCATTGATCTCTGACCCTGCTGTTAAGATGACAGGGAAATAAAGAACTTGTATGAGAGCAGATTTTGTTTAGGACTCAGACTGCCGATTTCTCATGAGGTATGAGCAGTTATCTGTAATGAAGTTTGTACTACTGGTGGTCAAACCAAGCGTAGAAGTGTTTTGCTTTCTCATCTGCAAAGGAGTTTTGTTCCCCTAAAACATCAGAGAGAATGGATCATCAGCTATTGTAGGAAGAGTTCAGTACAAAACATGAACAGATCTGTGCCTTGATGATTCTGCCATGTTCCATGCATTACCAGTGACCCTTTATTGTTGTTAGCAGTTCACTACAGAGCACAGGCTGATTTTGAGGGGAAAAAAACTTTTAAAAATTGCTGCTTCTGCTTATGCTCTGCTGATAAAAGGTTATCTTGGTGTTGATTAGACATAGTTCAGAATAAATATGGCTCCATTATATGCCAGCAAGTATTTTAAGAAAAGTATCCAATTATCTAGTGTGTTGAAATGGAATTTTTCATGGTGCCACCAGTTCTTCCTTGTCATTCCAGAAATCAGGGATGCTCGGGGTTCCTGACTGTTCTCACCTGCACATCTTGGCACATGGGGGTTTGTGTCCTTTGAGGTTCCCTCACTGTCCAAGTGAAGCTGTGTTTGTAGCACTGCTTACCCTGCCTTGAGAAGTCCATCTCTGGCAGTAGGACAGATTTATTCCTGACTGGAGTGACTGTAGAACCATATTTACCTAATGCAGGAGGAATTACATGTGTTTTTACATGGATCCTTGAGATTAAGAACATCAGAGCAGCTGTAGCTGGATTACACCAAAAATCCAACAGCCTGTCTCTTGACAGTGGCAGCTAAGAAAGGGAATGAGGTGGCAAAAATGAGTTTTGGGTTTTCTCCCTACCTCTGACCATTGGCAGTTCAGGTCCACTGTGGTGTCTGTTCTCAGTGGCCTCAATGGCTCTCCCTTCTCAGAGTTTCTTTTCTCCCTCTAGAAGTGATTTTTGCCAGATCACATCTCTGTGTCTCCTTCAGCTATTTCTGAAAGTGAAGGTCTTTGAAGATTAAAAATATCCAGACATCTATGAAATATTAACCATGCTTTTTGTGTTAAATGCATGTTTTAGTTTAATTGTAATTTACTGTATTTTAACTGCTGGATTCTCCAGTTGAAGGATGGATAATAGCTCAGGGTTTCCCCACATTGTCTCAGAAACTCCTTAGGAGTTTGAGTGTGCAGTCTCTAAAGTTAACTGGGCAAAATGACTGCATCTATTATTAACATTTAAACTAGCATCTTCAGTTTGCTCAACAGATTTCTTTTGCAGCCTAATCTTGCTTTGCTTTTGATTGTATGGTGCTGAATTAAAAGAAAAAAATCAAAACTAGGTACATGTTTTTATAGTTGTTACACTGGGAACAATTTAGCCACCAAATGAAGCATTAATTAATTAGAAGAGTATCCCTTAATACCAAACTAAATTTTCTGCAGTCATCACACAAGGCTTCTTTTCCTTTGTGATTTAATAAGATTGAGATGATTTTGCTGTTAAGTGCCAGCAGTGCAGTGTGTGGAAGCATTTGTACCTGAAAGTACTCATTATACTTGAAGGCAGAGAAGTTTTTGCTGTGTAGAATGTTGATGGTTTTTGAAGTGTCTGGGGTGATCTGTGAGCCCTTTACAAACCATGCTAGCAAAGGAATGAGAATCAGGTGTTTTAATAAATTGATGGCTCTCTTGCTGGAATAAATCCATTTTGTTTTAGCACCCCTCTAAGTAAGTATATTTTCATTCTGGTGCTCAGTGTCTATGAGCAGTTTTGATGCTTTGTGGCAGCATTCATGCCCATGATTGGCTCAGCTTAAATAGACACAGCCCCTTGGAAACGGTGTAACATGTCAACTGTGAGAGCTGAGCACCTGCAAGAGTTCTGTACAC